AATATTAAATATAGAATAAAAAATAAAAAATGTGGATTAAATTATTTTTATATTATTATATTATATTATTTAAATGATTTTCTTTTGAACGAAAATTGTACTTTTAACTATTGTTCATTATTTATTATTTACATAAAAATTTATTCAAATTACTTGGATGCGAGTAGTCGACACTTCGAATCAAATGGCAGTTAAACTTGGACGGAGACAGTAATAGGTGGGGATAGCTCAGTCGGTACAGCAGATAGCTCAGTCGGTATAGCATCAGACTCTTAATCTGAGGGTCCAGGGTTCGAGCCCCTGTTCGAGCGAAAAAAAAAAAGACATTGTCCTTTAGAACAACAGCACGGGGGAGCTCTGTGTGTACAAAAAAGGTGTTCCGAAGCTCTCCCAACGTGCGGAGGACGGCCATCATGGAGGTTTCAGTCAGTAAGAAGAATCCCGACAACTACCTGGGTTGGTTTTTCCTTTAACAACGTTAAACGTCCAGCCTGTTTTACCAGAATTTTGAAATGGAAAGAAAAGCGTGACGTTCCGTTACTTTCTACCAAACATTCGATAGAAATGGAAACCGTTCGAAGAAAGACAAAAATCGTAAGCCAAGAAACTATAATGCGAGTAAAAATGGCTGCGTATAACAACCCATTACTCAAGCCAATGAAGTGGTAAAATTAGGTTTTCGAACTTTTACTGAACACTGCCAAAAGATGTGTATCACAACATATCGCAAAAAAATTGATTGAGGCACTTACGCAGAAGAAGGACGAGCAAAACCTCGGCATCATTTGGGAAAAATGGAAGGCAGTGCGCATAAAGTTAGGAGATGAGATACTGCACCGAATGTTGTAATACAAATTCACAAATGTTAGGTTCAAAGATGGCGAAAAATTTAACGCAAGAAGTTACAACCTTCTGTAATCAATGTACAAACAAACCTCACCTTTGTTTACCTTGTTTTAATAAATTACATTAATCTTTTTAAGCATTACATTCTTTTCCTTAAAGCATTGACACCAAACACCAAAACCGATGTCGCCTAAATTGAATGTCGTCCTTCTTTCTTTTTTAGAAATTGTTGGACGAAAGAATGTGTACATAATATTAATGATTGATATCAATTGTTAATTAGACACTATCGTATCAATCTCTTAATAAATGTAATCTCGTTTTATTAAATTCTTCCATTTTCATTATTACTTCTGCTGCTAGTGTGTAAAGGCACCTTTGATGTAGCTTTTGGCTACGACGGAAATTTTAATAAAATAAGCAGAGGCAAATTAGTAACAGTGCATTATTCATTAATATTTACACGTACTGATTTTCAACTGAGATTGATTTGAATTCATAGAGTATGTTGCTTCTTGTGTCGCAATGTGATCCTGCCGGCGCATCTGTTAAACAGTTTGCACATTATGGACAGTCGATTCAATCAGGTTGGCACTCAGTAATCAAACATACAGGTGAATAGAATTTTATAAAATTTATCTCACGATGCGCTTCCTCTTTTTTTACAGGCAAGTTTCGGAAAGTTGCCGTATAACATGAAAAAATATGGCGAGCAACAACCTCCTGATTATAATCTCAGCAATGTCTCGGTATCAGTGGATTTGTATTACGGTACCAATGATATAGTTGCCACTGCTCAGGTTGGTATAGCGAATGGGTCTCGAATTTTTCAATATTTTCAATACTTTTCTTCCCTGTCAATTATTTTACAGGACATTCAGGAATAGTACGAGAAACAAATTGTAACCAATAATGCTGGTAATTAAATAGAATTATTGATTTTAGGCGAAATAATGATAAATGAAATTCCAAAATCTTCGATCTTACAGATGCCAGTGGATTTAATAGCCGCATTTAAGCCACCCAACAAATCTTATACGATTGCAAGAAAAATATGCTAATGAGCGATAACAAGTTTCGAATATGAAAAATATAATATAAATATAGCTAGTGTTTCGACTGCGTTTTCATGACTACAAGAATATGAAACAAAGAGTATAGGTCATTACATGAAAACGTAATGACTTTAACTCAACGTTATCTCAGGGTC